CAAACTGGTCGTGGGGATTCGAACCGCCGACTTTCTGATCGGCAAGTCCTAGGCTCTGTGGTTTAACCCACAGCGCCACCTGCGTCCCTAAATAACTCAGAGATGCATTTTAAATAAAAGGGCACATTCTACTCATGTAAAAACACACTGATTCCTGGACCATCTGAGGGCCGGATTTAGAAGGCGATTGGGCCGGATCCGGCCCCCGGGCCTTAGTTTGCCTACCCCTGCTCTAGAGGGGCGCCACTGAGGCTCCCAGCCTGCCTGAGTTTCCTGCCTAGCCAGCTCTGATCATAGTCATGGAGTGAAGAACTGCTGCGCACCAGAGGGATGGTTATTTGCAAGGGGAAGCAGGAAAACCTGGAGAGGCAAAAGTGAATGAACCTCCTTCCTCTTTCCCCGTTTTTTGGAACTGTGTGTGAGAGAGAAATTGTGGAAAAGGCACAAGCAAAGTTGAAAAGGGGAAGTTTTGTTGCTTGCTACTGCTTCTGCTTCCCTCAACGCCTCAGAGGTCAATTAAAAGTGGTGAAGAGGTCGAACACCACCTCCTGTCCCTTTTGGGAACAGGAGCTTTTATCAGGGTTAAACAATTTAAATGTCAAGTTCACAAAATAAGTACTTTGGAGTATTGCTTGCTTTTGTGTTCTCTCTCTCTGTGTGTGGGTGGGTGGGTGGGTGTGTTTGGATCTGGAGGACAACATACATGTTTACACAATGGGCACTGCTGCATACAATGAGCTACAAAAACTGAGTCCTCTTTATATTGAAAATAAAATACTTGCAATGAAAGAAATGTGATGCTGACATACAAAGCGGTTTGTATTTATCCCTTCCTGTAATTTGGAAGAGAAATGTAGCCAATCCACTTTAAATTCTTTAATTGCAATGGTTCGGCAGCCAGCAATCTTGGGGCGTATACTTTGTTTATTCTTTCATTCTTTAGAGCCTTAACGGCAAGCCTTTACCACTCACTGAACGGCAAGCCTTTCCTACCCACTGAATTTGATGGAGCTTACTCCCAGGTAACTGTGTAAAGATTCTGCAGTCGTATACTGCAATCTTACGTATTTTTACTCTCTGCTATGTGCCAGACTTACTCTGGACTTACTCTCTGGTATGTGCCTGATCATTATCAGTTTCCATTATTATTATTATTATTATTATTATTATTATTATTATTATTATTATTAGTGCATGTGTGTGTGCCAAACTGAATCTTTGACCTGGGTGAAAGAAAGCCTAGTTTCATCCCTGACACCTTGAGTTGTGTCTGCAAACAAACTGGCATATGTTTGAACACGGGGATTACAGTATTTTTCGCTCTATAACACGCACCAGACCATAACACGCACGTAGTTTTTAGAGGAGGAAAACAAGAAAAAAAAATTCTAAACGAAATAGTAGATATATGATTTTTGTGGTTCATGCTGTGGCCACAGACATGTGATCTGACAGTGAGTTTGGAGTAGCCCAATGCAAAAATCCTGAGGATCCATGTGGATCCATGCTTTGTAACCACGGAGGAGGGAAGGAAGGGGAACCATGGATCCTCTGCTCACGACTGCAGCAGATCCCGCCGCCACCCGCAGGCATTCGCTCCATAACACGCACAGACATTTCCCCTTACTTTCTAGGAGGAAAAAAGTGAGTGTTATGGTGCAAAAAATACGGTATATGAATTCTAAACGGAACCCCAGCCATCAAAAAGTGCAACAGCCCACCTGCGATTCACAGCAACTGGTATTCGGGGAAATGCTGCCTTTACAGTGGAGGTAAAATATTGCCATCCTGGTCAGTAACAATGTTGGATCCAGGAGAACCAACAAGTTATGGACCTGCTCCTTGCAAAGGAGCCCAATCCCACCCAGATCAGGCCACCTGCCCACCTCCGAAATCCAGAACTGGGAACACGTAGCCTACTTATTTTAGGATTCAGCTTCAATATGTTAGCAACTTAATGGGTCGCTGTTTTGCTTCTTGCAGGTGGGAAGACAAAGGATGGAAGCGACATCCATTGGCTTTTTGCATCTCCACGGATGGACACTTCCAGAAAGCAGGACTTGTTCCTGGCAAATAAGGATTCCTGGAGTGGGGAAAATCATAGCTGAGTACAATAGCATGAAACCAATTGCCACAGAAGTGCTTACCCAAAGAGCACCATTTGGGGTGCTTCGCGGAAACTGTTGGCTGCATGGAAAACATGTGTTGTAGAAATGACCCCACTTACGAGGTGGTCTCCTGGCATGTAATAATTCAATGCATCTGGAACACCCCTCTCCATGTTCAAGGGGCATTCCGCCTTTGGCATCCCAGAGCCTACAAATCGCAGCAGCAGCAGCAACAGCAGCAGCAACAGCATCACTCTGGGTCTGCTGGCTCTCATTGCCTGTGTTGTGGCTGCTCCCAGCATAGTAAGCAGCAAATTAGAAGCAGGACCAAGCCCCCGGTGACATTAAGAGCAGAGGGATGATACAGTGTCTTCACACTGGCAGAGTCCGTGCCTGCCTCAAGCTTTCGGTTTCTCAGGAGGTATTTAAATAGGCATTTCTTGTTGCATTAAGTTGCCTCGTGCATTTCTCCATTGTCTGTTATTTGCAGAATAACAAAAATAAGGTGATGCTTGGGGCATCGGTCCCTTGAGTTTTGGGGCAAGAAAAAAAGAGAACTAAATCACTATGATTCCTATAATTAGGAGGTGAAGCTTCACCCCCACCCTGTACAGGGTGGCTCAAGGAGCAGGTGCAGAGCTGGAGGAAAACAGATCCGCAAGAGGAAAGGGCATAGCTCAGGGATAGAGCATTTGTGAGGGGACCTCAGCAAGGGGAATTAGAGTTAAGGAGATGTTGCAGCGCAGCATCGTGTTGTGCAGATGCCGGATTACCATCTTCCAAAGCAATTACTCTATTCCAAACTTAAAAATGGAAAGCGTAATGCTGGTGGTCAACAAGAGAGGTTTAAAGACTCTCTCAAGGCAAATCAAAAAATGTAGTATAAACATCAACAATTGGGAAACACTGGCTTGTGACTGCTCCAGTTGGAGAACAGCCTTTACCAAATGTGTCATAGGTTTTGAAGACACTTTAAGACACCGGGACATTCCCAGGGGAATTGAAGGAGGCAGTGGTGCGCCCGCTTTTAAAGAAAACATCATTAGATCCCTTAGATCTATCCAATTACCGCCCGGTTTCGAATCTTCCATTCCTGGGTAAGGTGATTGATAGAGCGGTTGCTGAACAGCTTGGCGGGTTTCTGGATGAAACATCGGCTCTGGATCCATTCCAGTCCGGCTTCCGCGTTGGTCATGGGACCAAGACGGCTCTGGTCGCCCTAACAGATGATCTCCGCAGGCAGCTGGATCGAGGCGGGTCGGGGCTGCTGATTCTTCTAGACCTGTCAGCAGCCTTCGACATGGTCGATCACAAACTCCTGGACCACCGCCTTGCCGACGTGGGGATCCAGGGCACAGTCCTTCAATGGCTGCGCTCGTTTCTCTCTGGTCGGGGCCAGAGGGTGGCGCTTGGGGGGGAATTGTCATCGCGCCACTCCTTGGTGTGTGGAGTGCCCCAGGGTGCGATACTCTCCCCAATGCTTTTTAACATCTTTATGCGCCCCCTCGCCCAGGTTGTCCGGAGTTTTGGGCTGGGTTGCCATCAGTATGCCGATGACACCCAACTCTATCTGTTGATGGATGGCCATCCTGACTCGGCCCCAGACACACTGATCAGATGCTTGGAAGCTGTGGCTGGATGGTTACGTGGGAGCCGGTTGAAGTTAAATCCTTCGAAGACAGAGGTCCTCTGGCTGGGACGGGACGATATGGGATTGAGGGGGCAACTCCCATCTCTTGCGGGGGTGCAATTAGTGCCAGCACCGTCCGTTAAGAGTTTGGGTGTAATCTTCGATACCTCCCTCTCTATGGAGGTGCAGATTGCAGCTATAACAAAGGCGGCATTTTTTCATCTCCACCAAGCTAAGCAGTTGGCTCCTTATCTCTCTCGCCCTGACCTAGCCACTGTGATCCACACGACGGTCACCTCCAGACTGGATTATTGTAACTCGCTCTACGTGGGGCGGCCCTTGAGACTGACCCAGAAACTCCAGCGGGTGCAGAATGTCACAGCGAGACTCCTTACGGGGTCTTCGCTGCAAGATCACATTCATCCGGTACTATACCAGCTGCACTGGCTCGCGGTGGAGTACAGGATCAGGTTTAAGGTGCTGGTTTTAACCTTTAAAGCCCTATACGGCCTAGGACCCACGTACCTACGGGACCGCCTCTCCTGGTATGTCCCACAGAGGAACCTACGGTCTGCAAATAAAAACATCCTGAAGGTCCCAGGCCACAGAGAGGTTAGGCTGGCCTCAACTAGAGCCAGGGCTTTCTTGGCTGCGGCTCCAATCTGGTGGAACGCTCTGTCACAAGAGACTAGGGCCCTGCGGGACCTGACATCTTGCCGCAGGGCCTGCAAGACAGAGCTGTTCCACCAGGCCTTTGGTCAGGGCGCAGCCTGACTCCCTCCTCTGGCAATCTGCACAGAATTTTGCTTAACGGTTGCCATCAATTTGATTTTAATTTTTATAATGAAATGTTTTTAGAATGTTGGATTATTTGATTGTTTGATTGTTGTTAGCCGCCCTGAGCCGGGCTTCGGCTGGGGAGGGCGGGAAATAAATAAAATTTATTATTATTATTATTATTATTATTAACTCAGGATGCAAGGAAGAAACGTGCTAAGAGGAAGGCACGCTTGGCAAATCCACACCGTGATCAACTCCCACCCGGAAACCTATGTCCCCACTGTGGAAGGACATGTGGATCCAGAATCGGCCTCCACAGTCACTTACCGTACATATTCACTTTTAAAACCGTGTTTATGGAAGACAATCTTACTCACTACGAGTGATTGCCAAAGAGAGAAGAAAGAGAGAGAGGTTTGCACTGCAAGCAGAAGATCTCAGGTTCGATCCCAGGGAGAGCTGGGAGAGACTTCTGCCTGGATCCCCGCATTAGATGCGATAGTACTAGACTACCTATAGCCGTTTGGTGATGAATGCATTTCAACAGAGCAGCTGTGCTCCAGCAGCCAATAGGAGTTGCGGAGTCGCTACCTTGCAGACCCTACATCCCTCAGGAGTGGGCCGTCCTCTCAACCATTCCAGGTGTCCCAAGAAAGCCCAAAGAGCCCTGAGGGCATCTGATCCTCCCTTCTCACACAGTAAAGAACTCGTGTGTCCATAAGTTATCCTTTATTGATTTGCTTTCAATGCTTATGCCTTTCCTTTCCATATATAGTTCAATGCTGCTAAGGAAAATGATGATGATGATGATGAAGATAATAATAATAATAATATGCAATTAAAAGCAACAACATATGCAAGCACAAACAAGAAGTATTTCAAAAGGAAGAGAACAAAATCAACAAGCCAGAAATAGCGCGATTTGGGGGTGTGGGGAAGCAACAGTGAAATATCCCACAAAGGTTATGTATCAGTTATAGAGGGAGCCTGGATAGCTCAGTTGGTTAGAGCGTGATGCTGATGATACCAAGGTTGCAGGTTCGATCCCCGTCCGGGACAGCTGCGTATTCCTGCATTGCAGGGGGTTGGACTAGATTATCCTCAGGGTCCCTTCCAATTTTATGATTCTTTGTGAGAGCTGGGAGGGTTCAGAACTCTTCTTTGTGTGGAATAAGGATGAAGAAATCATTTTAATAGAGGGCTTTATAGTCCCTTTTTCTTCTTTTCCATCTTTATTGTCTTGCTTTTGTTATTCTTGCTCTTTTCCCTTTTTTATATTAGTTTCAGCCTGGACACTGAGGTCCATCTCCGAGGGCCTTCTGGCAGTTCCCTCACTGAGAGAAGTGAGGTTACAGGGAACCAGGCAGAGGGCCTTCTCGGTGGTGGCGCCCGCCCTGTGGAACGCCCTCCCATCAGATATCAAGAAAATAAACAACTACAGTGGAACCTCGGTTTTCGAACTTAAATCTATTCCAGAAAATCGTTCAACTTCCAAAAAGTTCAAAAACTGAGGATCAATGGGCTGGCTGCAAAGTCAATGGGAAAAAATGAAAAATGCGGCTTGGAAGCTGCTCGGCTTCTGAAAATCGTTTGAAGCATTCACTTCCGGATTATCGGTGTTCAGGTTCCAAATTGTTCAGCTTCGAAGCGTTCGACAACCAAGGTTCCACTGTATCTGACTTTTAGAAGACATCTGACAGCAGCCCTGTTTAGGGAAGCTTTTATTGATGTTTTATCATGTTTTTAAGATTCTGTTGGGAGCCGCCCAGAGTGGCTGCGGAAACCCAGCCAGCGTGTAAATAATAAATTATTATTATTATTATTATTATTATTTGATGTTGAAAACTTTCAATATAAATTGATTACAGTGGTACCTCGGGTTAAGTACTTAATTCGTTCCGGAGGGCCGTACTTAAGCAGAAACTGTTCTTAACCTGAAGCACCAGCTAATGGGGCCTCCTGCTGCCGTCGTGCCGCTGGAGCACGATTTCTGTTCTCACCCTGAAGCGAAGTTCTTAACCCAAGGTAATATTTCTGGGTTAGCGGAGTCTGTAACCTGAAGCCTATGTAACCTGAAGCGTATGTAACCCGAGGTACCACTGTACACAAAAAAAGGAGAAGACAGCACCAAACAGAAAGCAGAAAGGTACAAAAACAAACTTCACAAACAGCTTTCCATTTTGCCTCCTCTCCCACCCCATCCTAAGAGATTAAAAAAATGCTGCAGTGAAGATGCTTTGTGAAAATACAAGGCGTGTAAACCAAATATGTATGTTACTTATGCAATCATGGCCATGCAATATCTAGAAGAAAAAGAAGGAAGTAACATTGAAAATATCCCACAAAGATTATATATCAATTATGGCATATCAATCAATCAATCAAATCCAACCTCCAAACGCTGAAGACCTCCCTAAAATAAACTGGCCTTATAAATAAGTTCACAAAAATTACTGGTCTGCCACTATTATTTTCTTACCATCATGCTGGGCTGGAAATAGTGCCAGAAACCCCCACCCCTCCTCTGACAACCCACTTGCATTTTGTGCTGAACTCAGAGAGGGTACAGAATACTGCCCCCCTCACTTGCCTGCCCACAATTCCTTGTCTCCTAAGGCTATCAGGCTAGTGCTTAAACATAAGGCTGGTCTTAACACTGCAAGGAAAGGCCAGGAATCAGAGAGGAGGGACAAATCACCTCGGATAGCTCAGTTGGTACAGCATGAGACTCTTAATCTAAGGGCCAAGGGTTCAAGTCCCACGCTGGGAAAAAACATTCCTGCATTGCAGGGGGTTGGACTAGGTGGTCCCCGCGGTCCCTTCAAACTCTACGGTTCTGTGAAATCTCCATGGGGAGGGTGTGGCTACAGAGGAAGGCCCCTCCCCAGGCGTAGGTTTGGAATTGGCAAGAGGGCCTACGTAGATGACCTTGATCTCCAAGCGTGCTCATATGAGAAGCTGGTCCAACAGAAACCATGGTCCAAAACCAGTTTCACAATCTGTATCGTGGTTAACTCTTGCATCTGCCAGACTTGAAGCTTTCATCCGTTTGTTCAGAATAGTATGAAAACTTTCTTTTTACAGAAATCTTAAAAATGGAAGTACAAAATAAGAAGTCCACAGTAAGGCAAAACCTTTCTTTGGGCCAACTGAAATGTCACAAAATAAGTCAGCAAGCTTTTCAATTCTCCGAAAGCTTCTTTTACGTTCCCCAACACTCCCAAGTATTCATTTGGGGCAGAGGAGTTGAATTCCCTGTGTGGGTTCTCTGATGGCTAATAAGGGCTGTGCTAGCAACAGGGTTCTTGCTTAATCTCAGAAGCCATACACTGGCTTTCCTCTGTGAATTCCCCTAGAGGGCATAAGATGGATACGCCATCTGAAGCCATTTCAACGCTCCAAGCAATGATGGGTCTCCCAACCCCAGCGTGAACTTTTTGGTGTCTGTTTAGATCCGCTTTTCTGTAAAACCTCTTCCCACATTCCAGACACTGGAAAGGTCTCACCCCAGTGTGGATTCTCTGGTGTGAAGTAAGGTCCGTTTGCTGCCTGAAATACTTCCCACACTCCGGGCACTGATACGGTTTCTCTCCTGTGTGTATGCTTTGATGGGAGGTGAGGCTCTTTTTCTGACTGAAGGTCTTCCCACACTCCTGACACTCATATCGTCTCTCTCCGGTGTGGATTCTTTGGTGTGTGAGAAGGTTGGACTTGTCGTAAAAGCTCTTCCCGCAGTGCGAGCACATGAAGGGTCTCTCCCCGGTGTGGATTCTCTGATGGGAAGTGAAGCTCGTGATTTGGCTGAAGCTCTTTCCACATTCCGTACAAGTATATGGTTTCTCCCCGGTGTGGATTCTTTGGTGTCTAGTAAGGTGTGGCTTATCGTAGAAGCTCTTCCCGCATTCCGAGCAAACGTACGGTTTCTCCCCGGTGTGGATTCTTTGGTGGGAAGTCAGGCCGAAGCTTTGATGGAAGCCTTTTCCACATACCAAGCACTGATATGGTTTCTCCCCTGTGTGGATTCTTTGGTGGATGACCAGGCTCGATTTGTCGTAAAATCCCTTTCCACACTCGGAACACTTATATGGTCTTTCTCCCGTATGAATTCTTTGATGTGATGAGAAGCTTGCTAGCTGCCGGAAACTCTTTCCACACTCCAAGCATTTGTATGGCTTCTCTCCTGTGTGGATTCTCCAATGAACATTAAGGTCTGACTTGCGATTGAAGCTTTTCCCACATACCGGACAGACATTTTTTCTTTGCCCTTTCTGTTTTCCCTGCTGAACTAAGATTTCGGGGAAATTGTCACCCTGCCATGTAACAGATTCGTTCATCCACATCTCTGTTTGATTTCCTTCCTGCTTTTCTGGCTCAACTTGATCTCCAATCTCCTCTTCCATTTCTAGATTCTTGTTCCTTTCCGACAACTCTCCATATGTCCCTTCATCAGTCTTATGCTCCCACTCATCACCTTCTGGAATACAGAGAGAGAAACTTGGTTAGCGGACAAAGCAGGGGAACAAGGAGGAAGTATTTTTTTCATCCCCCATCATGCCAAATTTATTGCTGCAGAGAATGCGTCGTACAGGTGTGGTTCTGCTTCCACATTCCTTCCAAAGACTTAGAACTGCTCTACACATCCAAGTTCCTAGACTGTGCTGTCCAGATTTGATTGGGGCTGCAGTTGAAGATGACTTAGAAACTTCAACTGGTCCAAACTGCAGCGGCCAAATTACTGCCTAGGGTTCCATTTAAATCTCATATAACACATGTTTTCAAACAGCTGCATTTCTTTATCCCATCTCAGGTGCATGTAAGCTGATCTACCCCTTTTGCAATGAACAGACCACACACTGCTAAGTAAGTTTAAAATGCTTTACTTACAGTTCCGATCTGCACTGGGTACCATGCAACGGGTTAATTCCCAGGCTCAATTCAAGGTACTCATGCTTGTGTTTAAAGCCATAAATGATTCAGGCCCCAAATATATGAAAAACTGCCTCCTTTCCTACAGACCTCCAAGAAGCGCACCCCCTGAAGCTCAGGATAGTGATGGTGGCAGACAATAAGCTGTAGAACTCCCTCCTTACAGAAGTGTGTCTGGCAACTTCATTACAGTGGTACCTTGGTACTCGAAAGGCTTGGCTCCAGAACAAATTGGCTCCCAAACACCGTAAACCCGGAAGTAAGTGTTCTGGTTTGGGAACGTTTTTCAGAAGCCAAACGTCTGACGTGGCTTCCGCTTGAGTGCAGGAAGCTCCTGCAGCCAATCAGAAGCCACGTCTTGGTTTCCGAAAGGTTTCAGGGGTTGGAACAGACTCCCGGAATGGATTAAGTTCAAGAACCAAGTTACCACTGTATATAGTTTTCATCATATGCCTTGGACACCTGACATATTTTCAAGATCCACTCTATATTTTATGACTGCATTTTTAAAAGCTGTATTGTATTATAACAAATTGTTGGAACTTAACAAAGCGTGGCCCTTACCCAGAGAGGCCACGTTCCAGTAATTCTCCAGTTGCACTTCCCCGTGCAGAGCCCTTTGGCCCGGATCCAGCAGGGCCCACTCCTCCTCGGTGAAACACACGGCCACTTCTTCAAAGGCCATGGGACCCTGAATGAGGAAGAAAATGCCACCACCTTCAAGTTACATATATCTTAATTTATACATATATATCTTGGACTAGGGTATTTTTAGAGGGAGCAACTGTTGTGGGAATGGTTGTTGCTGTTGTCACTGTTCATTTCTTGCACCTTTATTTTGGATATTATTACCGTATTTTTCGCTCTATAAGACGCACCAGACCACAAGACGCACCTAGTTTTTGGAGGAGGAAAACAAGAAAAAAAATATTCTGAATCTCCGAAGCCACAACAGCAAGAGGGATCGCTATGCAGTGAAAGCAGCAATCCCTCTTGCTGTTCTGGCTTCTGGGATAGCTGCGCAGCCTGCATTCGCTCCATGACGCATACACATTTCCCCTTACTTTTTAGGAGGGAAAAAGTGAGTCTTATAGAGCAAAAAAATACGGTACTTCTGTGTAAATTGTTCAATTGGGTTGTGCGCTTTTTGATGCTTCACTTATTGTTTACAACTACTTTTGTTATGCTTGTACAGTGCTACCTTGGTTCCCGAATGGCTTAGTCGCCAAACAGATCAGCTCCTGAACGCTGCAAGCCCGGAAGTAAGTGTTCCAGTTTGCAAATGTTTTTCGGAAGCTGAACGTCCAACGTGGCCTCAGATTGAGTGCTGGAAGCTCCTGCAGCCAATCGGAAGCCGCGCCTTGGTTTTCAAATGGAGTTGAATGGAGATCCAGAACGGATTAAGTTCAAGAACCAAGGTTCCACTGTAGTTATGTAAATTTTTTTATATGTTGTAAGCTGCCTTGAGCATGGTTTTAACTTTGAAAGGTGGCATACAAACGAAAGATTGACTAACAGATTCTGCAAGATTTCCGATTTGCAAGAAATGAGCGTCCCCTTCCAAACTACCTCCACCACCCCTCTGGAGTCAAACTTTTGCCTAAGCAAAATAAGCAGAACTCGCAGCCTCTGTTGTGTGTCGTTTGATGGGTTTAACATCTCTATCAACATATGACAGGCACCCAATTTACACTCGTACCTTGGAAGTAGAACAGAATCTGTTCCGGAAGTCCGTTCGACTTCCAAAACATTCAGAAACCAAAACACGGCTTCTGATTGGCTGCAGGAAGGTCAGGTGGCCATCTGTCAGGGATTCTTCAGGTGTGATTCCTGCATTGCAGCGGGCTGGACTAGCTACCCCTCATGTGGTCCCTTCCATCTCTACACTTCTGTGAATCTATCGAACGTGGAGGCTCCCCAACCATCCCGTGTACACGTTTTTCTGACGGTCCTTACCCGAGTTGACTGTGCAGAAGCTGTTGCTGTTGCTCTGTCACAAATGAGAGATGATTCGGAGACAGTCAGGGACAACACCCCATTGCTTGCTGCAGAAGATGGCAAAAACAGATGTTGTTTTTGCTTTTAGAAAAGCAGTGCTAATAATCATCATCATCATCATCATCATCATAATTTATTATTTATACCCCACCCATCTGGCTGTTTCCCCAGCCACTCTGGGCGGCTCCCAATCGAGTGTTAAAAACAATACAGCATTAAATATTAAAAACTTGCCTAAACAGGGCTGCCTTCAGATGTCTTTTAAAGATAACATAGCTGCTTATTTCCTTCACATCTGAAGGGAGGGCATTCCACAGGGCGGGCGCCACTCCCGAGAAGGCCCTCTGTCTGGTTCCCTGTAACCTCACTTCTCGCAATGAGGGAACCGCCAGAAGGCCCTCGGTGCTGGACCTCAGTGTCCGGGCGGAGCAATGGGGGTGGAGACGCTCCTTCAGGTATACAGGACCGAGGCCATTTAGGGCTTTAAAGGTCAGCACCAACACTTTGAATTGTGCTCGGAAACATACTGGGAGCCAATGCAGATCTCTCAGTACCGGTGTTATGTGGTCCCGGTGGCCACTCCCAGTCACCAGTCTAGCTGTCGCATTCTGGATTAATTGCAGTTTCTGGTCACCTTCAAAGGTAGCCCCATGTAGAGCGCATTGCAGTAGTCCAAGCGGGAGATAACTGCTGCTGTTAGGCCCATGCTGCCAACTTTTTTTATTGCTTGGTTAATTTGAAGGGGCAACCGCGCACTGAAAGGTATCAGCACACAATATTTCTCTAAAACGCTAAAAGTATAATGCAATGATTTCATAATCGCAATGCCAACCTGAACTCCTTTGGGAGGGAATGGTGGGATATAAATCGAATAACAAACAAAAGGAATAATACTTCTAAATATAAGAGGAAACATCATCTACAAAAGATGAATAGGTTAATAAAATTAATGGGCTGTGTTGAAACAGCAAAGCTAGCTGCCAGACTAGACTGGAATTTCTTCTTGTTAGATTGATATTGAATGTATTGTTATAAACAAGAAGGCAGTAAAGAATTATCTGAATTATGTCTTTATCGAACAATATGGAAAGTCAAAGAAAAAACAAAAATGGTTATTTGTGATGTAGCTAAGATGGATTATGTGAAAATTTAATAAAATATAAATATTTCAAAAATACTACTAAATATATATACCACCTTATAATATAATGTAGTTGTGCATATTAAGGCATTTAAAAGCAGGCATTTGAAGGCTAAAATCCTGGCAACCCTAAGGATAATTGTGACTGCTTTAAACTGTATTTAGGATGTTTTAAATTATACTTTTTACTAGCGTGCTGCGATACTGGGATATAACCTGAGACCACTACAACAGAACAGTACTTGGTAACAAGATAATATAAAGGGACATAAATAATCATCAACAACAATAAAACATTATGGTCACCAAGTCATTTAATTTGCCACTTTCAGATTCCCCATAGATCAGTTTTAAAAAGAGAGAGGAGGGAGAAGAGGAGAGAAGGAGGAGGAAAATGTTAAAATTAAAATATAAACATAACTGAAATACGTGGCAAAACAATGACATTGAATCAATACATTAATTAAAACAGGAGACAAGATGGGATTCGACTCAATTGTGTGTTCGGACAAGATCTACTATTGCAGTGGGATTTTTCCCTCTGCCCAAAGCCTGCTAAATCTGTTCTGGAGAGTTAAGAGAAAACTCCAAACAGATTTACTCTTGTCGTGCAAACAGAACTTGTTCCGTGCAGTCATACCTAGCTTAGAGTTATGCTGAATTCAACCCTCAGGCTGAGAGAGGAATAAGCTCTGGGAGTTGTGGGAGGGAGGACCCACACTCAGAGATGGACAGGCACCCCCCACAGGCAAGATCAGTGGCTCATTAATTACAGGCATCCACAAAAAGGAAGAGGGAGATCTAGACTTTTTCCTGGAGAACGATATAGCACCCAGAAATTCAAGGAACAGGAAACCCTCCCTTACCCAGCGACGCATCTTGAGTCCGAATCTCTGGCGCGATTCCCACGCAGAGTGACTTCTTGCAGGCATTAGGAATGTTCTTTTCTGACTCGAGGGAATCAGTGACCGCTTGCGGGAGGGACCGCGGCACCTGAAACAGCAACTAAGATTTGATTCAGGGAGCAGGGAAGAGAACTAGGGGACTGGGATGGATTTTCAGCATCATCTTCTTCCAGCTCTGCAAAACTCTGCAGCAGTCAGTGGGGCTGGAACAGGAACACAGGAAGCAGAGAATGGCCCACCTGCCACCAGGGCGGATTTGATTTAAATCAAATTGATTTAAATCACGATTTATATCATGATTTAAATCACTAGTCTGTAAGACTTGATTTAAATCATTTTTTTTACAGAAAGACTCGTTCTTGCTGGTATCACCTTAATATTTACAACCAGATGAAGGTTTCATTCTTGGGACAATACATTTTCAGAGTAGCCTTTACAGTTATATCAAAAATTACTGATTTGGTTATACTATTAGAAATACATAGGCAGATAATAATGAAATTACAGTGGTACCTCGGGTTACATACACTTCAGGTTAGAGACTCCGCTAACCCAGAAATAGTACCTCAGGTTAAGAACTTTGCTTCATGAGAACAGAAACCGTGCTCCAACGGCGCGGCAGCAGCAGGAGGCCCCATTAGCTAAAGTGGTACTTCAGGTTAAGAACAGTTTCAGGTTAAGAACGGACCTCCAGAATGAATTAAGTACTTAACCCAAGGTACCACTGTATTGTAAGGTTGGCTGTTTATATTTGGACAACTTTCCTGCTGTACTTTATCAGAAGGAGAAAAATCATCATTTCCTTAATAATAATTTAAACAATTTATTTAGCTAAAACAATAACATTATCGCATATGTATCCATGTTGGTTAAGTGATGTGGTTAAATAATTTTATTTTTTTAACTGAATTTTAGCACACATGAAAAACTTAAAACAAATCCTTATTTCCTGATAGCCTTTCCTTATTTACTTTTAGCCCTTGGACTATAATGTAACTTAAACAGAAAACTGTCTTTAGGAAGATTTTTCCTCCAAAAGCATTTTATTTTAAAAATCCGATTTAAATAAAAAAAATCTGATTTAAATGAAACAAACCAGATGGGCAGGGTATAAACAATAAATTATTATAAATTATTATTATTATTAAAGCTATGGTTTTCCCAGTAGTGATGTATGGAAGTGAGAGCTGGACCATAAAGAAGGCTGATCGCCGAAGAATTGATGCTTTTGAATTATGGTGCTGGAGGAGACTCTTGAGAGTCCCATGGACTGCAAGAAGAGCAAACCCATCCATTCTTAAGGAAATCAGCCCTGAGGGCTCACTGGAAGGACAGATCGTGAAGCTGAGGCTCCAATGCTTTGGCCACCTCATGAGAAGAGAAGACTCCCTGGAAAAGACCCTGATGTTGGGAAAGATGGAGGGCCCAAGGAGAAGGGGATGACAGAGGACCAGATGGTGGGACAGTGTTCTCGAAGCTACCAGCATGAGTTTGACCAAACTGCGGGAGGCAGCGAAAGACAGGAGTGCCTGGCGTGCTCTGGTCCAGGGGGTCACGAAGAGGCGGACACGACTAAATGACTAAACAACAACAGCAACAGTTATTATTATATTATTACAGTGGTGCCCCGCAAGACGAATGCCTTGCAAGACGAAAAACTCGCTAGACGAAAGGGTTTTGCATTTTTTGAGTCGTTCCGCAAGACGAATTTCCCTATGGGCTTGCTTCGCAAGACGAAACGTCTTGCGAGTTCTTGCGAGTTTGTTTCCTTTTTCTTAAAGCCGCTAAGCCGTTAATAGCCGCTAAGCCGCTAATAGCCGTGCTTCGCAAGACGAAAAAACCGCAAGACGAAGAGACTCGCGGAACTGATTAATTTCGTCTTGCGAGGCACCACTGTATTATCTCCCTGGAGACCAAGAGATGTGACGATAAACTGCTCTGCCTCCTTTCTTTTAGCAAATGTTTTGTGCCACTGGGGAAGTGGTAATTCTGTATTGATTTGTTTTGGATGTTGTATGTGATGCCAATGAAAGGTTTGATGATGATGACGATTTCAACCTCGGAAGGGCCACAGCTCAGTGGAAGAGCATTTGCTTGCAAGCAGAAGGTCACAGGTTCAATCCCTGGCTTCTACAGGTGGGGTTGGGAGAGGCTCCTGCCTGAAATCCTGTTGAGCTGCTGACCGTTTAGTGTGGACAGTACTGAAGCTAGAGAGACCAATGGTCTGGCTCTGTGCGCGGCAGCTTCCGATGGGATTTCAGAGGGAGAAGTACGGGACCTTCCGCATACAGAGAGATGGGAAGAAGACAAGGTTCCTACAAGAGAACAATGGCGGATGAAGTTGATGGACTATGCTGCAATGGCTAACATGACCGGAAGAATCAGGAAGACCAAAATTTTAATAAGGAACGGGGTAAATTTGGAACTTTATCTTAAAGACCGTTGTATACAGTTAAAATCTTTGGTAGGACTGGAATATCACTTGGAGTTTAAGGGTGAATTCTGGACACAACGGAGAAGTAAAAGCTTTGGATCATCAAAAAAAGATGCAGGAGAAAATAATAATAATAATAATAATTTATTATTTATACCCCACCCATCTGGCTGGGCTTCCCCAGCCACTCTGGGCAACTTGCAACAAAATATTAAAATACAGTAATGAATCAAACATTAAAAGCTGCCCTAATTAAATTAAATTCCCTGATTAAATTAGGACCCACAAAGGAGAGGATGGAAGTCCAGGAGATTCCTTGGTTTATGATTTATGGTTGATATATATCTGTAAAATGGGACGCGGGTGGCGCTGTGGGTTAAACCACAGAGCCTAGGACTTGCCAATCAGAAGGTCGGCGGTTCAAATCCCCACAACGGGGTGAGCTCCCATTGCACGGTCCCTGCTGCTGCCAACCTAGCAGTTCGAAAGCATGTCCAAGTGCAGGTAGATAAATAGGTACTGCTCTGGCGGGAAGGTAAACAGCGTTTCCGTGCGCTGCTCTGGTTTGCCAGAAGCGGCTTAGTCATGCTGGCCACATGACCCGGAAGCTGTACGCCGGCTCCCTCGGCCAGTAAAGCGAGATGAGCGCCGCAACCCCAGAGTCGGCCACGACTGGACCTAATGGTCAGGGGTCCCTTTACCCTTACCCATGCACTACCTGAAACCAAAAGGGCACATTGGTTACTAGATGTGAACTTGTTCTCACAGCAACCAACCAAATGCCTGTGGGAAACTTTGGTGTATTCAGAAGTATGGCTGCTTCCCACTGCAGAGGCAGAGAACCACCATGGCTAGTAGCCATTGATAGCTTTCTCCTCCTTGGAACCACCAAGATGAAAATATTCTCTCACCTGCTTCTCCTCTCCCTGCTTCTTCCCCTCCACCTGGCTCAGGATGAAGCCTTCGGCCAGGGCTACCGCCTGAGAACAGGTCTCCACTCCGCACTCCCTGACCCAGTTCTCCATCTCCGGGGGGAGGACAGCCAGGAACTGCTCCAAGACCACCAGGTCCAGGATCTGGGCCTTGGTGAGCCTTTCTGGCTTCAGCCACCGACGGCAGAGACTGTGGAGTCGGCTGCAAACCTCTCGGGGTCCCTTGGCCTCCTGGTAGAGTAACCCTCTGAAGCGCTGGCGCTGGTCATCAGAGCTGGCATTGTCCACCCCCGGGATCTCTGGGACAGACTTTTCCCTGTATGTCCCACGGCTCCCAATCTCAACAGCGTCAGGGCCAGCTGCGGTTCGCTCCTCCATCTTCGCTCTGTACTCCAAGGCGGCTTCCGAGATCGCCGTAAAGATATTCTCCCGCCAATTTCTCTCTTGTTAAAGCCAAGAGCTGTCCGGATCGGAGGCTTGCAAAGGGTTGGAGTTCTTCTGCGTGGAGCAAAGGTATTTTCACAAGCCGGTGCGGACAATTCCAGCTAGCAACCAACTGGGGTTTCTGCCTGCAGGAAAAACAGGCCAGTGTTAAGGCTCAGTGAGAAACCAGAGATTGAAGAGCTGTTTGGAAAAAAAATTTAAAATACTGTTTGTAATGCTGTAACCTGCCCTGGAACCTTAGCGTGAATGGCAGGTAATAAGTACCGTATTTTTCACTCTATAACACGCACCCGACCATAACACACAGTTTTTAGAGGAGGAAAATCCGTAGGCATGCCACCCGTAGGCATTCCCTCCATAACACGCACAGACATTTCCCCTTACTTTCTAGGAGGAAAAAAATGAGTGTTATGGTGCTAAAAATACGGTAAGTAAGTTATGCGCCCACATGCGGTGGTTTTGCCTCTAGGTCTCTACAGTGTTGGCGACACAATCTTTGATCGCATTTCTAAAATCACTGGGCCGCCCACAAAGTAGCCCCTTCTCTTGTTTTCCCTGGCCTCAAACTCCTCCATAAATATCTTATTCATTTCCTCTTGGCTGCAGCCAGATCAATAGCTGGAGGCCGGAAAACGTCCTCTGATTTTTTCTTATTACAGTGGTACCCCTGGTTGCGAATGGGATCCATTCAGGAATCTCGTTCGCAACCTGAAAAGAATGCAACCCACGTCTGCGCAGGGCGCGATTTGTCACTTCTGTGCATGCGCATGACGTCATTTTGCGCATCTGCGCATGCGTGAGTGGCGAAACCCGGAAGTAACCCGTTCCGTTACTTCCGGGTCACCACGGGACACAACCTGAAAACACGCGACCTGAAGCAAACGTAACATGAGGTATAACTGTATTATTATTACTATTATTATTATTAATACCTCAGTTGTCGAACAGAATCCTTTCTGGAAGACGGTTAGACCTCCGAAACGTTTGACAACCAAGGCGCAATGGGCAGGCGGCAAATTCCATTGAGAAAATTATGAAACATTGTTCATGTATGCAACAACGGCAGCCAGAATATTAGTGGCAAGAAATTGGAAAAATGAAGTGATAGCAGAGTGGCAAGCCCTAATGACAGAGTATCTCCAGCTAGCAAAGATGACAGGGAGAGTAAGAGATCAATCAAAACAGAGTGTATATAAAGAATGGAGAATATTTTAAGAATACCTAAAAAACTATTGTAAGAATAAGAATCTCCTGGTAGAACTAGAGTGATTCTTGTAAATAAAAGGTGGAAATGATATTGTGTTTGCACATACGAAAATGATTAAGTTAATTTGAGACTGTGCATTATAGAGGAAAGAATAGATATAGCAAATGAAAATACTGGGAAGTCTTTTTTAGCTAATTCACAGTAATGTTTTTATTCTTTTTTGTGAGCTTGTATTGATATGAATTTATGTGTAAACATGATATGGCATTTACATATATGAAATGTATAATAGTATGTATTTTTTTCTCTTTTTTATTTTATTTATTTATTTATTTATTTATTATGCTTTATGTTTGTATTAAAAGTCGTTGCGTTTTGATATTTTTTAATTCAAATCAATAAAGATTTATTTTTTAAAAGAGAGAGAGAATTGAGAAACGCACCTTGGGAGCCGTTTGACTTCCGAGGCGCATTTGAAAAATAATTCAAAGTATTGGTGCTGACCTTTAAAGCCCTAAATGGCCTCGGTCCTGTACAGTGGTACCTGAGGGTTACATACGCTTCAGGTTACAGACTCCGCTACCCAGAAATAGTACCTCGGGTTAAGAACTTTGCTTCAGGTTGAGAACAGATATTGTGCTCCGGCGGCGCAGCAGCAGCAGGAGGCCCCATTAGCTAAAGTGGTGCTTCAGGTTAAAAACAGTTTCAGGTTAAGAACGGACCTCCGGAACGAATTAAGTACTTAACCCCAGGTACCACTGCATACCTGAAGGAGCGTCTCAACCCCCATCGTTCAGCCCGGACACTGAGGTCCAGCTCCGAGGGCCTTCTGGCGGTTCCCTCACTGCGAGAAGTGCGGCTACAGGGAACCAGGCGGAGAGAGGGCCTTCTCGGTAGTGGCGCCCGCCCTGTGGAACGCCCTCTCATCAGAGATCAAGGAGATAAACTATATTACTTTCAGAAGACATCTGAAGGCAGCCCTGTTTAGGGAAGTTAATGTATGATGTTCTATTGTATTTTTAATATTTTGTTGGGAGCCGCCCAGAATGGCTGGGGAAACCCAGCCAGATGGGCAGGGTATAAGTAATAAATAGTTGTTGTTGTTGTTGTTGTATAAGTAATAAATTGTTGTTGTTGTTGTTGTTGTTGTATAAGTAATAAATTGTTGTTGTTGTTGTATAAGTAATAAATTGTTGTTGTTGTTAAACAATATTGATGAATATTATTATTATTATTAAACAATATTGATGAATATTATTATTATTATTAAACAATATTGATGAAGGTGGACCAGTGGTCCTGATAGAGGCCTATTCACACCACACATTTAAAGAACTGTGATATTCCTGCATTGCAGGGGTTGGTCTAGATGACCCTTAGGGGTCCCTCGCAACTCTACAATTCTATGATACCATGTTAAACATTCACGGCTTCCCCAAAAAAACATCCTGGGAGCTGCAGTTTGTTAAAGGGGTGTTGAGAGTTATTAAGAGACACCCCCCTACATTTCACAGTTTGCTGGGAAGGGGGGGTTGATTGCTAAGCCACCCTGGGAGTTGTAGCTCTCTGAGGGGAAGGGGGGGTGTCTCCTACTAACTCTCAGCACCCTTAACAAACTACAGTTCACAGGGTGCTTTGTGGGGAGGGGAGGCATGACTGCTTAAAGTGGTATACGAGTGCTTTAAATGTACAGCGGTACCTCGGGTTAAGTACTTAATTCATTCCGGAGGTCCGTCCTTAACCTGAAACTGTTCTTAACCTGAAGCACCACTTTAGCTAACGGGGCCTCCTGCTGCCGCCGTGCCGCCGGCGCACGATTTCTGTTCTTAACCTGAAACAAAGTTCTTAACCCGAGGTACTATTTCTGGGTTAGCAGAGTCTGTACCCTGAACTGTATGTAACCTGAAGCGTATGTAACCCGAGGTACCACTGTACAGTGTGAACGTACAGGGCGGTTTCCTCTTTTCCAATTTACACAGCAGGAAACTGAGGTTTACTCAATTAAAAGCGGATTCAAGTACTCTGTCACCTAGGGGGAGTGGGATCTATTACATTTTTATTTTTCCTTTTTGAAGTTTGTAACTGTGTTTGCGGGAGGAGGGTTATTTGTTATTCTCTGTCTTTTATGTTCTCGTTTTGTATTTTTACATTGTCAACCGCCCTGCGATTTTCAGGAAACGGGTAGTATACAAAATTCATAACTAATAATAAAAATAATAATAATGTGGTGAGGTTTGAGCTCTACAAGCAAAACGAAGTGGGGGGGAACTGCTTTAAGCACCGTGCAAGCTTTCCGCAAAGCAAAGCAAATCAGGGCTCAACAAAGGAGACCCTCTGGAGAGGATCCCAAAAGTCTGGCTTTTAATTTATATCATGGGTAGGCAAACTACGGCCCGGGGGCCGGATCTGGCCCAATCGCCTTCTCAATCCGGCCCGCGGGCGGTTCGGGAACCAGCGTGTTTTTACATGACTAGAATGTGTGCTTTTATTTAAAATGCATCTCTGGGTTATTTATGGGGCATAGAAATTCGTTCATTTTCCCCAAAAATATAGTCCGGCCCCCCACAAGGTCTGATGGGCAGTGGACCGGCCCCCTGCCGAAAGAGTTTGCTGACCCCTGATTTATATTAATAGTGGGCCTTTGACGACAGTTCTGCAAACCTTTAGATCCGGTATGCGTTTGAATCCCCGCCCCCATCCCCAATAGTGACAGCCTGGAGGTTCCCCCCCCCACCCCGTCTCCCTTTGTAGGGACTGAAAAAAGAGGGATGGTGCAGGAGCGGGGGATCCCTGTCTGCCTCCTTCTGCCTGCCTTGCGCTTCTCTCCCCCACGGGACCCGACCAAAGCCCACTCCTCTGCAATGCATTGCAGCGCACTGCAACAATGCAACGTGTTGCAACGCTGTAATGCAAGGCATTGCAACAATGCAATTCACTGCATTGCAACCATGCAATGCCATTGCAATAGTGCAATGCCATTGCAACAATGCAACGCCGTCCCCTGCTCTTTCCTCCCGGGGGAATCTCCCCTTCCCGGAGAGGCCCCTTTGCACTCACCAGATGCTCTTTTGCCAGGGGAATGGTGGCAGGAGGGGTGGGGGGGCGCAGGCAGGAAGTGGGCCTTCCTCTTTCTTCTGAGGCGCCTCTCTAGGAAGGACGACTCTCTCGCGTTAACCTTTAGACTGCTGCATCCCCCCCTCTACCCCCGCTCCCTCTCCAGCAAGTTTGCTCGTAGAGGAGCGCGTTGCACTGCGTTCCCCGTCCTTCTATTCTTATTTTTTAAGGCTTCTAGTTAATTTTACTTGCTCGTGTTTTATCTTGATGTTAAGTGACTTTGAGACTTTTGTGTGTCTTTGTAAAGACAAAGCAATATAATAAAAAAAATAAGCAGGACGTTTAAAGCACCAAAAAAGAATCCCGTGAACTGTTGTTTAACCCGCTCAGAACTGCAAGCCCCTTGGAAAACTACGGTTCCCACGATTATTTCTGGGAGGGCATGTTTTAAATCGGGGTCTCCCAAACGTGGGTCTCCTGCTGCTATTGGACTACAATTCCCACCATCCCTGACCACTGGTCCTGCTAGCTAAGGATGATGGGAGTTGTAGTCTAAAAAAAACAGCTGGCGACCCAAGTTTTGGGAACAAGGATTTAAATGTGTGGCACACAAGAACGAGAGAGAAAAGTCGCTAAGACAAAACTTTTGCGCTTTTCTAGCCTTTCTAGATATTATCTCTTGTCTCCTAAACTCCTCCCTGAAACTCTGGCGAGCTGCCTAAACTGCCTCGTTGGCTCAGATCACGTTCGTACAGTAGAAATTTTTGTTAAAGGTCCAAAGAGTTGTTAGGAGATCCTTCCCTCGCGGAGATATGATTGTCAGAGTTCCCAGCCAGATGGTCGGGGTATAAATAATAAGTTGTTGTTGTTAGGAATGGGATGTTCGGCTTGTGCCGAAGGAGGCGCGGGAAAGGTTAAAGAAAGGGAGTGAAAAGGTCCCAGAGAGTCAGGGGGAAAAGCAAGAGGAGGACCCCACTTCCTGTCTTCACCCACCCACCCCCACACACACTTCAAAACCATTCAGCTGGCCAAGGAGGTTCTGGTGAGTGCAAAGTGACGGGTGCAAGGAGTGATCCCCTTACCCAGGATGCAAAGTGCAAAGCAAGGAGAGAGGGGTCGGTGGGATGCAGATACCCAGCCAGGGAAAGCGGGGGGGGTGGAAAAGGGGTGGGGGGGCAATGCCAAAACATCTCTAGTAAAGTGTAAGGCTGGAGCCCCCTGCAGGGGAAAAAATAATGCACGCCAGGAAAGCGGGGTGGGAGTTTTGGGTGGAAGGCAAGGGGTCTGCATAAAAGGCGGATCTACACGGATCCTCATGGATCCTCCACTTTTTAAAAAATAATTCCAACAAATGCAGTGTCAAATCACACCTAGAAGGCACGCCTACAAACTGGACTATAAAAACGTGGATCCAACACTTTGCTGCACTGCAGCACCACAAAAACATGGATCCGAGGCATGGATCCTCATGAATTCATATGATTTTTATATTG